GCTGCTGTATCTTCTCTTTCCTCAGGGGAGCCAATTTCTGCACCACTTTTCTGTGACTGAAATGGAAAACTGACAGAACAGTTACTGACTCCTGCTGCAATGTTTTGCCATTTCCTTACTGGTCAGCCTTGCACTAGTGACAGAACTGTTTTCCACCTACAACTTTCATAAACATGCACAACAAGCCTAAGGTGGCGGTACACACCAGCACTCAGTAGACAGAGGAAGGCCTGTAGCTTCTGACCAGCCTAATCTACATATTGTATTCTAGGTCAGTTGGGGTTACAGGGAGACCCTGTCTCAAAAAATAAAAATATAAATATAAAAATAATAAGGCAAACCAGAAAAGCCATCACTAAAATGTTCAATGTGAGTAAAAATAATTCAGTAATTTGAGACATTAACTTTGTTTAACCGGTTGAAAAGATTCCATTTATTGCATCTGGTCTTATTTTTTCCTTTTAATAATATCCAGAGAAATATATTAAGCACATGAAACAATGTAATTGCTCATAGAGGTCTCAGCATAGAAACTCATGTAAGAACCAAGAAAACTGGAACTTCATTTCTGTGCTTTTTCCCTTTATTTTTCTCTTTAGTGATCTTAAGCTATCTTGATCAAAAACAACACTTAGTTGTAGTGTGTGGAGAAACTATAGCAATTCTCTATCCCTTGGATGAATCATTTATTTTAATTTGAGGAAATAGTTGCCCATCGGAATGCTGGCATGTAGAAAAACACTCTATATGATGTAAAATATTGGTTTATGAATGGACTTAAAGGCAAATCAATATATAATTTTCTCTAGAGAGAGAAAATTGAGGCCAGAAAGCTGAACCCGGGGTAACATAAGAGTCTCTCAAAAACAAAAACATAATTTTCTAATAGGTCCATTCTCATTTTTCGCACTTATTCTATTAACTTTTCTTTTTTTTATTGAGCTTTTGTACATTTCATATGACAGCTCTTAATCAACTTTGAACCGCCTCCCTCATCCATGCCCCTACACATCCCCTCCCCCGGACCGCATGCATTCTGCCATACATGTTAAATTCTACCCTGTCAAGCATTTGTACCCAGGTGTCCTTTGGTGCAAGTTTATCCACAGACTCTAGTCAGTCTATCTAGAGACTGTAAGATCTACTCTCCCTCTCCCATTAGTAAATCAGTCTCCACCAGTTCTCAGTCTATTCTATTGGTTTTGGATGCGCACCTTCAGTCATGATTTGCAACTATTTTCAAACTAATGACCACCTCCCTTAGGACTGCTTACCCCAAGCACGCTCATCTTTACATTCTCTGTCCTCTACGAAGTTCAGTGCTCATTCATCCTTTCACATCTTCCCAGTGCAAATGTGAGGGTCGCCTAGGTCACAGCTTCAAGGATTTTCATTTGAGCTGCAGTAAGGTGCATCTGTGCTACACTTGTGGGCTTCTTTCTGCAGTCATACTCTTACATTGCTAACCCTGAATTGTGTCCCCATCACAGCTCAGCTGGGTCACTCCTTCTTGGATTTCTCTAGCCTTGTCTCTGGCTCTGTTTCCCCTGAAATGAGGTCATCTCCCAGGTAATAGCCCTGGTTGACCTTTTCATAGTGCTGTTATTCATTTTCCTTGAAAGTAGATTTCCTCACAACTTGCTTCTCGCCCAAATAGGAGTAGAATACATGTGAAGCATCACTCTAAGAGGTATTTGTAGTGTACTTCACAGTCACATAGCAGAATAAGGGTGCTCGGCCCTAAATAGGACACCTATATCAAACCCTCTACTGTCAAGGCTTTGGGATTTTGTTGGAAGGTGAGAAGAAAGACTGTAAGAGCCAGAGCTGCTGTGCAAACACAAGGAAGGCATGTTTCCAGATACAACAGAGCAATTGTAAACATGAACCCTCAGCACCTGTGGCAGACTGTACAAGACCTGGTGAAGCTCAAGCCAGACAAAACCTAGCATGGAGCAGGGAAGTGGGCAAGAAGCCCGATCCCTAGCTGAGGAGCTACTAGCAATTGAAAGGTTCTGGGAGAGGGAGACTCAGTTTTCTTTAGAGTTGGTAGGTTGATCAGGCTTCAAAAGATGGACCAACACCCAAGACTCTTTTGATTCCATAGGCCTTTTAAAAAATAATAGAGTACATTAAGCCGGAGGATGGGGTAATACGGTTGGCATGGAACTGAGAGGAACTTAGTATGATTATGAAAAAAATTCATTATATTAACTTCTCAAAGAATCAATAAAAATATAAAATAAAAATTAAAAGGAAAGAAGAAAAAGGAATGACTGTTGGAGATTCACTCAAGTTCCTTTCTTTAAGATTTTGACTGAGGACTTAGAAGAAATTAACTGAGAAATAAATGAATATATTCTGTGGAACAAGTGCACACTGTCCCCAAAATTGTGATGCATTTCTATAACACACTGAAGTAAGTCACCATTTAAAAGAAAAATAAGAATTACTAATAGATCACAGAATTTGGGAAAATCAAATTCTTCCTCACGAGGCTATTATTGAAGGTTTGTTCTGGTATGCCTAAGTTGTAGTCAGATCTAGCCCGATTCAATTTCCATTTTAATGTCTACTTCAACCCTCTCGTTTCCTTGTACAAATAATAACTAAAATATGAATCACCTAAAATTCTTAATTTGCTACTATATAAAACATACTCTGGGGGCTGGGGAGATGGCTCAGTGGTTAAGAACACTGGTTGTTCTTGCAGAAGACCCAGGTTTGAATCCCAGCACCCACATGGCAGCTAACAACTGTCTGTAACTCCAGTTCCAGGGGACCCGACAGCCTCTATTGTCCTCCGTGGGCATTGCACAACACAGGTGCACTTACCTACATGCAAGCAATACATGCGTACACATAAAATAAAAATAATAAAGAAAATATTTTTTAAAATGTACTCTGTAAAATATTGTTACTTATAGCTGTGAGTGTGTAAACTTCATATATTTCTAATATACTAACTACTTCTATTTTTATTTGTTACACAATACAGAATTCATGTTTTGGTGACGTACATTAATATAGTCCATCAAGAACCTATAAAGTCTGTGTTGGGATGAATTTTGTGTGTTCTACAAGTTTAGGTGAAGTGAACATTTTATAGGGTTTGCAGTTTGGGGAATGTCTTACTGCTTTACTCTCAAATTCCTTCTTCAATGGTGTGGTGTCTGTCTCTAATGTTTCACATACCTCTAATGACCACAATGACTGGGATTCTAATTAATAGAGATGTAACCAAAATACTTATTTATAGAACTTTTTCTTAACTGTAGCATTAACATGATATCCAACCCATACAACACTGATATTCATAAATCTATATTTCTTTGTAAAAATGAACCAACATTTATAAATGGGTCTAAAAATAATTTGGTAAAAGTAGTGTCATAGTTATTCTGAGGAAGGTACCATCACACATCAGAAAGTATGACATTAAACAGCAAAGTGTTTCTCAGTAATTCTATGCAAGAATCATTCTATAGTGGTGTGGTGAGTATCATCTGCATTGTGCTGCTGGGACTCAAGGTCTGGATGCATAGATCTACTTCATAGGAAAGAAGGTGGGGTTGATATTGAACTACAGGATTCTACATTCTTCTTTCTCAAACACAACTATTCTTGAAGACATTGTTTTTACTCTATTTTAACAGCTTTATTGAGTATAACTGATACATGAAATACAGCACATATTCAAAGTGTGTAATTTGATCAGTTTGAACAACTTCAAATGCCTGTGATACTATCACCACAATCAACGCGATAGACATATTCAAAACTTTACAAAGTTTCCTGAGAACATTTTACATGGACAGGAACCATCTGGTGTAATCAATAGTCAGCATTATCAAGGCTCCTTTGCCTTACTATATTTAAAATCATAAACTAAGTGACCAATAAATGTAACTTTGTCAGTAACATGGTATATTAAGGAACTCTAAAGCCTCCTATTCTCATCACACCATCCTCTGAAGAGGTTACCCAAATCGTCGTTAGGGAGTGGAGGCACATGCGTATAATCCTGGAATTCAGGAGACTAAGACAAAAGCATTTTCAAATGTGTGAGGTTATCCTGTATTACATAGTGAGTTCCAGACCTTCCCGGGCTACAGAATGAGATGCTGTTTCACTTTTTAAAAAAAGAAAGAAAGAAAATAAAAGTGGGGGGGGTGAAAAAGAGACACAGTGCCATTTAACTGGTCATCTGTATAACGCCAATAAGGAGCTCTGTAAAATTGAAGACAAGTTATACATAAAGTTAGTCTGTTAAATTTCCTTCAAATATCCATTTCTCAATGTAGACCCAAAGTTTGATTCCTTAGTAATAACTAGAATGTTTATCTACCAGGATGAAGATTCATCCATGGATTTTAGTTGTTGACAATTTTCTAATTACTAGATTCCTGAGGTCTCAATTTGCCTAATATAACATAGGAAACCCAATTAAATTTAGCTTCACTTAGCTTCAGTATGTCTTAAAAGTTCTGATTGGTTTCTAATTTCTAAACTCTAAAAAAAATTTTTAAATAAATGTTTATCGTTTATCTGAAATTCCAGTTGAACTGAGCTTTCTACATTTATATTTGTTCAATGTACCAGCCCTTTTGAGGTTACAGGTATGCACCAAAGACTATTGAACCTGAATTTGTAAAACTCAACCTCAGGCAGCATAGGACCAAGAAAGGCAACTGGGTTAATTTGCATCTTAGCAAACAGTAGCTCAGTCTAAATTAACTGTATATGGAAATGAACAATCTGTTGAGAAGGCAAATGGACAGGCAATGCCCAGACTGAGGATCACCAAACACATTGTTTATCAAACTAATTAAGAGCTAATGAAAAAACCTACAGTCTTCATGTTTTATTCCAGTCTTCATCACAAGATAGACTACAACTGAAGAAGTAAAGAAAATTACAGCAAACTCTAAAAAACCAAGTGTAGACACCAAACTACATCAAGTCAACTAGAAGCTAATTGGATATTTCTTTATTTAAACATGGCATATACAGTAGATACTATCCTAATGCTTATTGCTGCTGGAGAGGCATCAGTAGGGATAGTAGGAAATGCATTCATTGGTCTGGTAAACGTCATGGACTGGATCAAGCGAAAGAAGATTGCCTCCATTGATTTGATCCTTACAAGTCTGGCCATGTCCAGAATTTGTCTACTGTGTATAATACTGTTAGATTGCTTCATATTGGTGCTGTATCCAGACATCTATGAAAATGGTAAAGAAATGAGGATCATTGACTTCTTCTGGACCCTCGCCAACCATTTAAGTGTCTGGTCAGCCACCTGCCTCAGCGCCTTCTACCTCTTCAAGATTGCTAACTTCTTCCACCCTCTTTTTCTCTGGATAAAGTGGAGGATTGACAAGATGATTCTCAGGACTCTGTTGGCCTGCTTGGTCCTCTCTGTGTGTTTTAGCCTTCCAGTCACTGAGAATTTGAATGATGATTTCAGACGTTGTGTCAAGACAAAGGAGAAAATGAACACAACTTTGAAATGCAAAACAAATAAAGCTGGACATGCTTCTGTCAAGGTAAATCTCAACCTGGTCATGCTACTCCCTTTTTCTGTGTCCCTGGTCTCATTTTCCCTCTTGATTCTCTCCCTGTGTAGACATACCAGGCAGATGAAGCTCAGTGCCACAGGGTACAACGATCCTAGCACAGCAGCACATGTGGGGGCCATGAAAGCAGTTATCTCATTCCTCCTCCTCTTTGTTGCCTACTGCCTGGCCTTTCTCATAGCCACCTCCAGCTACTTTATACCAGAGACTGAATTAGCTGTGATTTGGGGCGAGTTAATAGCTCTGATCTACCCATCAAGCCATTCATTTATCTTAATCCTGGCGAACAGTAAATTAAGGCAAGCATCCAAAAGGATGCTTTGGAATGTAAAGAATATTTTAAAGGGAAGAAAGTGTTAACAACATAAATATATCTGAAGAAAGCTATCACTTTCTAGGACAAAGGAAGACAAGATAATTATCTTCAGTTCCTGTATGACTGTTGATTTCATGTGATTACTTACTTTGAAAATGTATTTAGGAGACTGATGATTTTACCTTGCGAAGTCTATGCAGCAACTTTGCAGGTCTCTATCTCATCATATCTAGTCCTCTCTTCCTCCCTAGAGAGTTGACTTCAAAAAAATAACATTGAAGAACAAATTATTAAAAAAAAACTTAGCATTAACTATAAAAGGAGAGGACATTTTCATAGTCAGCTCTGAATCAGTTCTCCAAATGCAAAGTTGCCTGACTCATTCAAAACTGTAACATCATCTTGCCATTGTTTGCATCTTTATGAAAAGCAGCTGTTTCAATCTTGTGGTCTTATTTGGAGTTTTCTTCTCAGATCATCTAAGCTTCACATCTGGAAAATAATCAAGTGACAATTCCTAAAACATGAGTTGGAAGTATATGACTCTCACAGAGATTAATACTGACTATAATCATTGAATGATGATATATTTGCATATAAATTGTAAGTTAAATTTTGTAGTATTAAGTTCAAAAATCACTTTATGTTTATAAATCAATGAATAAAAAAACATCGTGAAAGTGAGGGAGCAAATTTTTATGTAGAAACTTTCTGTGAAAATAAATTCTATTGACTGCATACTGAAGGAAATCTCCATACAAATGATATCTACATATTTGCTTCTAGAAACTTGGACTGTAATGATTATAAACATATCATCATAGGATAAGGCCTTCAATATTGAAAACAGAACTGGAAAATGATCCAGTGATACCTCTCCTGGGTACATATCTGAAAGCCTCCAAATCATCCTGCCACAGAGAAATTGCTCATTCATGTTTATTGAAACACTGTTAACCATATCTAAGATATGTAAGCATACTAGACACCCATCAAGAGTTGAATCAAGAAAGGGTTGTGCATACATACAATGTAGTTTTATTCAGACATAAAGAACAGAATTGGGCCATTAACAAGAGATGAATGGACCTAGACATCATCAACAGTAACAGTAAGTTCTAGGCCAGCTGGGGCTGCAGGGAAACTGTCTCAAAAAGAAAAAAAAAAAAAGGAAAAAAATAAACTTAGGTACAAGAAAGGAACGAAAACTGAGAGAAGAGGAAATGAAAGGCCAAGGAAAAAATAAAGGGAACAATAGGATGTAAAAGAAAGAACATTTCAAGACATGAAAGGAAGCAGAGGTAAAGAGAAAAGATGGGGTGGGGCACTACAGACAGTCTAATAAGGTATGCCTGTGATCCCAACACTTGATAGGCTCAGGCAGGTGGTGGAAGGTAAGTTCAAGGCCAGTGTTACTACACAGTCACTCTATGTGATAAGCTTCAGTCCAATGAATGCATTTCCACAGGCTGCATAGTTAGACCCTGGTTCAAACAACAAAAAGCATTGGGCAAGATGGCTCAGCAAGTAAAGGCATTGCCTCAGAAATCTGGCAACTCGAGTTTCATCCTCAGACCCATGTAAAGGTAGAAGGAGAAAAGCAACTCCACATAGTTGTCCTCTGACCTCCACACATAGCTCTGGCATGTGTACAAACACACACACACACACACACACACACACACACACACACATTAATAATAGTAAATAAAAGAAAAAAATTCTTTATCAAAGCAAGTAGGAGGGTACCTGGTAGAGCTGAACCTATTACTAGGTCTCCACGTCATCTGAGCCTCCTTCATCACCACTCCCCACACATCAAACTTCCATGGGGCTGTTGGACACCATTAAAATAGGGATCTTTCTCCATGCCCCTCTATCCACTTGCCTATTGAGCACTTTCCAGAGAAAGTGTGGACTTCAGAGGACTGGTCTACAAAGAGGTCTGCAAAGCCTCTGCCAGTCCAAAGGACATGTCCTCAGCACCCAGCCAAAGGTGCACCAACATCTTCATGAACATCTCTGACCCAGAAGGGGATAATGCCCAATGGAGAGGAATGAGGTCACCTATATGGTGTGTTCCATCCCACCAAATAAGGACAAGAAGCTTCAGGCTGTAGAGGTGGTCATCACTCATGTGGGACCACACGAAGCATGAGACCCGATCTGGGCATTTCATCAAATTCCTGGGGACCCACAAGATCCCTTCTCCTGGACTTAGCGAAACTTTGAAGGGAAAAGAGGAGCAGTGCCTCCCTGGAGATGGCAGTCCACTGAACAAGATAGGGCTTCAAGGCTGGACATGGTCCCTTTAAAGTGTCTCCTGAAGGGAGTGGATTGGAAGGCACTGAGTACTCTTGGCTACCAGCAGTCTCTCACCAAGTGCTCACCATCTGAAAGCATTAAAGAATTTGAAAAGGGGGAAGGGGGTACAAGCTGAGTATGATGATCCTGTTTGCAGTCTCAAGCCTGGAAAGGTGGAGACAGGGAGGATCAGAAGTTCAGGATCATCTTCAGCTACGTAGAGCATTCCAAACCAGCCTGGACTACGTCAGACCTGATCTCCAAAAGAGCCAAAATGAAAAGAAAACAAAACAAACAGAAAAAATGGTGTTTCTCAAGAAAAAGGGTTAAATATGGAAGTGGTAAAAAATGTAAAAACTTTCAAAGAAGTGTTGATTAAATATGTCATCTCTATATTCTAGTAAAATACTACCTGGACTGTATACAGTGCATCTACAAGATATCTATTTGGAAGATTCCAAGTAAGGCATATCATGTATCATGGGCAGAAATGATATTTTGCCTACCAGCCTCCAACAGCCATGAATTTTGCGTGCAGAATAGAAAATGTTTATTAATAACAACACATTAAATATCCTCATCATCAAATCTGCTAAACCCAAGCTTACTTTCTTCTCAAAATCTGACAATGGAAAAGATATACACTGATTAAATTGATTTTTAGGAACGATTTATTGAGTACCTTGTAAATTAAAGAACAAAATTAGATGTCAAGGCTGAAACTCATGTTCCTTTAAATATTGCCTAAAAGAATATTAATCTCTGTACCTGACCAAAGAAGCGGCCAGCTTGGGTGGGTTTTTTAGGCATGGAGACAGAAGAATTCTGCTGATTAGTGGGAATCTTGGAAACGTTTATTTTGATATTCCTATGTGACGATCTCTGGAGACTATATTAGTCACTATGAACACTAAACCATGACATTTGGTTTCTCTGTGGACATTATTCAGGTAAAGAATCCTCAGGTAGAAAGAGCAACAATATATTCATCTTTGGCTGTTCATGACTCTTTCTTACCAGGACGAATGTCATCTCACCAAGTTAGGTGGACTTGCCTTCCGAAATTATATTATTCTCATAAATCATGCAAAGATGGAAAAGTTGAAAAGCGGATTTTCGGGTCTTCCTTTATTGTAGTATTTATGACAGTTTTTAGGCTTTCCCCACGAAGATGCAGCTGAACGCCTTTCTGCTTTCATTCCTTACATACTCGATAGAGAGTCATTCATGTCTTCAATGTCTGAATATCAGGCACTCTCCCAGATGCTGAAAATTCATATGAAATATGATAAAGCCTATGTTTTTATGACTTGAATGGCCATAGAAGACAAATAATGAGCAAGTAAAAAACAAATAGTGATTAATGCAATTGAGAGAACTAACATTGAAGACTAGCCTTACATAGAATTAAGATTGTCCTACCCCCCAATATGTAAAATCTGAGCTGGCTGTCAGTTTCACAGGATCTGAAATCAGTAAGAAACATGCCTTGGACAGGCCTGGGAGGGAATCCTCTAGACTTTCCATATTAGGTTGTATCTCTGGAGGTATCCAACCTTAGGGACCAAGCAACTAACTGTTCTCAGTCTCTGTAGTGTGTAGACCAGTAATACAAGACTACCAGTCTGCATCAGGTGAGCCAATCTAGTAAATCCTCTTTGTATTATAAGGCCATTGTCCTAGTTTATCTAAAGAACTCTGGCTAATATAGATTGTGATACTAGAGGCCGCATCACCGCTGTGACCAATCTGATCAATGCGTTTTTAAGCCTTTGGAACTGGTTTGCAGAAGGAATATAGAAAAGTTTGAAACTTTGAGCTATAAAATCCCTTAAATACCATAATCAGAGCTTGATGGGCCATTCTGGTATGATTGTTTGAAGATAAAATGCTGAAAGAAACACAGACAGTGGCAGTTTGTGAAGTTTCAGAAAGGAACAAGGTCTCTATCAGGATCCGGGCTACAGACAAATAATACATTCTGGCATCTGACTGCATTCTACCAGTGTCCTAAGAACTTGAGTAATGGACAAATTTGTTTTGCAAAGAGGGGCTAGAGCTAGGGTGTTAAGAGCCCTGGGTTTGATTTCTAGCACCTACATGGTGGCTAACAACTGTCCATAACTCCAGTTCCAGGCATCTAATACCCTCTTCTGATCTCTGCCGGCATTGCAAGACACGGGTGCACTTACATACAAGCAGGCAATACACACATTCATATAAAATAAAAATAAGTAATTTAATATATTGTTTTGCAAAGAAAAAAATCAAGACAAGATAGCATTTAAGCTGTATCATGGTTACCGTTCAGTGTCTCATCCAGGACTACACTGCAAAAGTAGAGCAGAAAAATATGAAGTTCGGCAACGAAAGGTGTGCGAGCAAGTTCAGGAGTCACGTTAGTGCATTTCTTGGTATTAACATTCCCTGTGATTAAGGTCAGTAGGAAACTACAGCCCTACCCATATAGGCTGATAAGTGGTCCAGAGCCTTCAGGAATGAAAATGTGAATCATCCATTCAGGTAAAGAACCAAGACTGACTGAGGTGCTTGCTGACAGTGGAGAGAACACAAAATAGGTAGAGGAAGAAGGTAATTATAAATACCAGCTGTATGTGACTAGTCACACAATTAAAGATTATAATTGTCATAAGTATTTCTGTCTGATTTTGTTAAAATATACTTGTGCATAAACAAACATATTAAGCAGATACCTGTGCTCTCTTTCTTTTATTTCTTTACCATATAATAGAACATTCATTGAGATAGTATCAGTAGTTAAGTGTTGTAAATTTATATATAGGACACTAAAAGACTATTGCTCAGGGGACATGGGTAAGAGAGTACATTTTGGCATAGATATAACATTGTCTTCATTTGGAAATTAAATGTCAAAAGAAGATGTAATTAGGTGTCAAGTTATCAAGGGGTGAATTTGTGATGGTTAATCTTGGTTATGAATTTGATTGGATCTGGAATCAACTAAGAGATGTGTCTCTGAGAGGATTTGGGAGGGCATTTCTAGCCTCCTAAATAATTAAACAGAGAGGTTATTATATAATATTAATATTAAATTGTAATATAAGAGAAGGTAAGTTATTGCTAGAACAATTGTGTGAAAATACTAGAACCCTCAGGTCTGAGAGCAGTATTTGGGTGGGTGAGGCTGAAATAGCAAAGTCCCATATTTCCTGAACCTTCCAGATCACCTGAAGCAAGTCTCTCTTTGGTTGTAAGAATAACCACATGAGTCCCAGATAGCATCTAATTACCTCAGCATGAGGCAAGGTAACATTTGTTCTCAAAATCCTCACTTAACATTCCCCATTATCTCAAGCAAGATTTCAGCACAATCCAATAAATTAAGCTCAGTAGTTTCTGCTACCAAAATAAAACAGAGCTTTAGGCTAATAGGACCATGTGGTGCCATTAACATCTCAAGAGGAATAAGGGAAACTGCTGGAAATGAGAAATGGGCCTTAAGGACATTGAAGGAAGGCATCATCTATATTTGATAAGGAAATAAGGCGTCATCACCTTGATAAGGAAAATACACTGACCTTAAGGCTCACTGTGGAGTTGGGACTCAATATTCTGACAAAGGCACAGAAATCCATCAAGCCCCAACACAGTGATAACCTCAGATATAAATTCAAACTGCTACAACTTCTCTGATTGATCAGGGACGGATACGGAAATGACAGGAAACATTAACTACATATAGGTAGGAGAAGCAAGCACCTGACTGTGTTCCCAGAACATTCCAGAAGATACTGCCCTTGCTGAGACAGCTATGAATGCTCTGGTGAGGGAAGCCTTGGAATCAGTGAACATCCAAGATGGCAGTTCTCTGCAGGCCAGTCAACTGACGGAAGAGAATCTGCACTCTCAGTGGCTCTCTAGTGGAATTGCTAGGTGCAACCTTGAACTATTATTACTGTACTCACTACATAGGTCAGCCAAAGGACTAGTCAGCGTGCCACAGTGCTCAGGAGTCTGGTGACGGAGTTCCTAGAATCCAAATACATATAGAAGCAAGAGATTTTCTTGAATTATGTAAGAAAAAAATGCAATGTGAAAAATTATTACAGTGGAAAATTAGATGTTCCTCCTCAGCTCAGAGGTCAAAGTCACTTCACAAAAAATGTACATTGGCTAAAGTATATTAAGGACCTAGGATATAGCTCAGTGGGAGGGCATTTAGCTTGCATGCACAAGGCCCTAATTCAATCACCAGTACAGCAAAAGTTTGGTTCCAAGTCCTTCCTGACTAGAACAGCAGTAAACATGGGGGTGCAAATATCTCTGTGGTAAGGTATATAGTTCTCTGGGTATATGTCCAGGAGTGAGATAGTTGGGTCATATGGTAGCTCTACACAGATGTCTATAATGTAATGATTTGTGCTCTCACCAGCAGTGATTACAAGAGTCCTGATTCTCCACATCCTCTTCAACACATGTTGCTGGATTTGCTGATGCTACGTAGTCATTCTTACTCATCTGTATTGACTGCATCCAGTGCAGTGGGGAACCTTTTGCTCTCCAGCCACTCCTCCTCAGTCTCCTTTCTGCAGTCTTTAGTGTGTCCTGGCATCTCATCAGCCACAAGTTCTGCTCTCTGCTCCAGTTCCTTCCATTTCAATGCTTCAGCGTCCCCTCCTTGAACTGTCACCCCAGCCTTTGGGATGAAGATGACGGTGGCAAGGTTCCAGCTTGTCTTCACTGTTTGTGTACTCCTCATCCTCAGACTCTAACCTGACTCTTTCCCAGAATGCCTTTCATCTTCCACCTCTGTGACTCCCATCTGTTCTTTTTTTTTTTTTTTTATTTTTTGCTGCACTGGCTGACAGACATATCAGTGGCCAGGGTGCCCCTCCATTTCTTTGTTATCAGTTTCTTCCTTCCTCTCCTTCATTGTTGTCTCCTCTTTCATGTGCCCAGCATCTCCTTTGATTTCTGAGTCACTTCAGCTCCCACCATCTCCCAGTGTCAGGCAAATCTCCTTTCCACATCTTCCCAGGTACAATTCTATAAATGCAACAGGCAGGGTTCACCCGATGAATCTTCCTCCTGTTCTTCAGGCTCTCCTTCTCTGTTCTTGACTCTAATGAATTGAAATGTTTCATCGTCCTCATCAGGACTCCATAAGGACATAATCTAGCCTCTTTCTAGACATGTTTTACCTTCACTTTTTCCATGGAAATATCACCTTTCTTATTTTGAACCCAGGTGGCACCAGCAGTAGATTGAATGGATGGATGCTTCATGACTCGCTTGGAATTCACATCATGAAGATGTTCCAAAGGCTGCTGCAGAACTCCTGGAGTTTGGCTCATCTCCTTTTTATTCAGTTCAGGAAGTCCGCCCATGGCATGGCAGCACCCACCTCAAGGGTGGGCCTTCTAGCCTTAATCCAGTTTATGTGTTCCAGGGTCCTGTAGACACTGTCCAGTCCACAGCATCAATAACACTGATTTCAAATGACTATGTAGAACATAGCCTCAGCATTGCCTTCAGCAGAATGCAGACTTTGGAAAGGTTCAGGCTATTAGGATGATGAAAACAGACTGTTCACACAGACTGTGGCCACAAATAGTGAGCGTTTCCGATGGAAGTGTCCAGGACCAGAATGCCAAGAAAGATGTGGAAGCTGGAGTCCCAGCTCTTGAGGTTTCAGAGGTGAATAAGGTCTGGAGCATTTGCGCCTTTGGCTCCTAGTTCAGTAAGATTTGGAGAAAGCAGAGGGGGAGCTGTAGGATGATTTGCAGCTAGCAGGAGAAAGTATTGGTAGATGTTCAATTTTAAACAAACAACAACAAAAAAAGACAAAGTGTCAAGTACTTGGGAAATTTTTCCAGAAACAAAGTAATGTATGGCATGCATTGTTTATTCATGAATATCCCACCTAGTCAATAGTCTTGTATTATGCAAGACTGTGTTGATTTGGATATGACCTTCACAATGTGGTCGTCACTGTCCAATAGTATTATGATTGAAGTGATAGCACTCCATTAGTAGTAATCCAAGTGATAGCACTACATAGCCTGTAATAAATTAGCATCGTTATCTTTAATGCCTGAGTTTATGAAGTTTGTTGGATTTTTTTTTTACTTACTTATTTTTACATTTCCTTGGCTTTCCGTGACTGTATTAATGGAAAATTAGGAGACTTCAGGGTAGAGGCGTCCTAGCCTTCTTGCAACATAAATAGAAAATGTTTTTCTTTCACCCTCACCTAAGTGATTTTCAAATGCTCCTGCATTCTTGTTTATATATTTTCATATATTTTGCATTGTGAAACTCACCAGCATCCACCACAATGTCATAGTATTACCTGAGAAATTGATCCAGTAAAGAAAAAATCAGTCAAGTATGTAGTCTGCTTCTAA